TACAATTAGGAACCTAATCACTGACTCCTAAAAGAATATGGAAAACCAAGACGATAACTAAAATACATACAAGATACAACTCATATACGATAAGGCTCAATATTTCAAGTAATTGCTCGATCCATTATGTGAAGTTATATCCGCCTCTCCCACGGTATATCCTAATCGTGTATTGAAAACATCTCCTAATGATAAATATAAGAGATGTTTTCAATGCATTATGGGATGTGCATGTGAAGCGTTTTTGGGTACATTCTGTGAGGAGCAGATGTAAACTCCCATTCTGTAGGCTGGCATATAATATTTACAAGATTTACTACCTTAATATCATCAGAAAATACTGTCAAGATTTACTAGCCCATGACATACAGAGAGAAATGACCCTGACAATACGATTGTATTGTGTAGTTACAACTTGCAACCCATGTGTAAATTTTCTTGGAATGCATCATATGCAGAATTGAGATTTGCTACTCACTGAGCGTACCTCACAGACATATCCCATCGTGCAATGGAAACATCTCTAATGTAAACACAGGAGATGTTGGGAACTTGGGATGTAGCTGTGAGGTTGGTGAGAGAAGCAGATGCTGATGTATGAGGACGATTGATATTTTGCAAAGAAGAATTAATATTGGAAGGTCGGGATGTCCTGTACTCCAGTTGATCACTCTGCCATTTCACATATGGAACCATATGGAATTAAATGGTAATTTTACTTAACTATTTTTGGGAAAATATTCCTTGATATTAGATGTACGGTGCACCATATTAAAATAAGACTCCAATGCCAAATTCGCTGATTCAGCATCTAAGCAAGAAAAATGCGCATATCGGTTCCTATGTAGCGGTTTAAACGGCCGATACATCGGAACATTTTTCTCTGAAGCTAATACATCGGAACATTTTAAAACTTTTTCAGACGGAAAGAAATCAAAAAGAAAAAAAAAAACCTGTCTGTAAATTACGCGAAGCGTTGTGTTGACTCATTTTTTATTGCACGCAGAGATCGGGAGAACCATCTACCCTAGATTTCGGTTTCTCCGATCACTCCGACCTTAACACGGGACCTGCATTGATCGGATCGCTTCGAATCAGATATGCAAAAGCGGCATCTTCTGTTTTGAATCGGCGACTCGGTGTTCGAATCAGCTGTTATTTTGCTAGAAAATTGGAAATCGAACTCGTTTTATAGCTCTTGTTAGATCCATTTGAACAATCTTCCCGAATTTGCGGATTTCGAGGATCTACATTCTACAATATCGTTGAGCATTGGGGGATTTGATATCTGATATCGGGTTTCCTACTGGAAGGGTTGACTTCGGAAGATTTGCAAACTCGATTCTTGAGATGGATTCGTTGTCTTCAATCAGCGAGGAGCTAGCTGAGATCGATGGACAGATTAGTGACATATTCCGTGCTTTATCGTAAGAATTTTGCATTGTTTGATGACTGCATTTTGGATTTTGATGGGTTCGTCTATATATCCACACATTCGAGCTTGTATTGTTGGTCAGTGGAGGGATTGCATTTTTATCTGGTAGTTTTAATTCAATGCATAATTGAACCAACCTACTTCCTGTAGTCAATAATGGAAAGTTACTGTTGCTTTTCAGCATTTGATGTAGTTTTTGATTCATGAAATAAAACATTCATCTAGTGTCTGGCTCATGGTAGTAGTATCTACATTTTGGAGATTTATGAGTTTTCTGTATTCCGTGAAAGAACTCCTGAAGTATCTGTATCTTTGCTTTCTCTCAGAAATGGATTCCAGAAGTTGGAGAAGATTAAAGACACAAATAGGCAGAGCAGACAGTTGGAAGAACTTACAGAAAAGATGCGGGAGTGTAAAAGGTTTGTTGTTATTAATTTCCTTTGATGCTTTCGTTAGTAAAAGCTTATTGTAGAGCAAGGTACTAGAAAATTTGCTCAGTGTAAGCCAAGTTGAAGGCTTCTGATGGCAGTGCTCTATTAGAATGATGTAGCACGACAGAGAAGAAGTCAAATTGTGTTTAAAGAGATCTGAGCCAAAGTTGGCCTGCCGAGGAACGAATAAAGGAAAAAAAAAAACAATGCAAGATTCCTCAGAAATGGTTCACAGCATTTGTTACAGCTTATAGTAATTATCTTAGCACATTTAAAACATACTGAGTCCAAGACATGTGAAAATAATGTAAGAAAACGTGTGTCTCTTAGACCTAGTATGATTTTATCCTCTGCATGTTGGGTAATTTATCTAACCCATCAGATCACCTGTACATCCAAGGCCTGGACTCTTTTCCTTGATCATTTTGCTTTTACCATTTCAGACTGTTTGAAAACAATTTCATAAATTGAGTTGTTCCCTAGTCAAGTTGTGTGGAATAAAGTTCTAGGCGTTTTAGTATTTACTTAAACTTGCTATCTTAATAGTTTACTTTATCTTTTTTTTTTTTTTATAAGGGTTTCCTTAATTCTCTTTCTTGGTTTTTATTGGTAAAGTGCTTAGAATTTCCAAGTGTTATCCATCTTTGAAGGCATGGTAGTAGTTCTCTAAATGTAATATATTCATTAAACAATCTTTTGAACAAGGCATCCTGTCATGTGTATTCAGGCTTATTAAAGATTTTGATAGAGAAGTGAAGGATATTGAAAGGAGAAATCGTCCAGATATCAACAGAATGCTCAATGAGAAAAAGCAGTCGATGGTACAACTTCTGCTCCAAACTTTCGGATAATGGAAAATTTTATTTGTTTCATAAATGTTTGAATATTTATTATTAATTTGCTTGTCCAAAGCTTGACTAAAAATTGGTTTCTTGATGTGCAGATCAGAGAATTGAATTCGTATGTTGCTCTCAAGAAGCAGTAAGTTATCATTTTATCTGTTGGAATGTATCTTTTTTTCTGTTTATATATCATATACCCACTGCTGAAGATTATCTGTATTTATCTTGTGAAGTACAAAAAAAAGGCTTAGAAGTCTACAACTTCTAATTTCTTTTGGTCACCTTTCCTCAGGTCACTTTTCTTGTAGTTTATTATACTGTATATATATAGGGCCCTCCAAAAAAATCCACCCTCAGAAAAAGAAGCAGAAATCTTTCTTGGACATATTTGAAACCTGCCATTCTTCTAAGAGTGCTCTCACTGAGCTCAGGAAACACCAATTTAAATTTAGGATCTTGAGGAAATGATGCCAAACAGTTGGACTGAAATTACAGTGAATAAACAAGTGTTTGAAGTCTCAATTTCTTTGTTACAGAGGGGGCACACCAAATCTGGAACATATATACCGAATCTGAAATATTGAAGCCCTTCTTCATCAACATTTCTTTAGTGAGGTGTTTTCCAAAGTTACTATTACAGAAAAGAACTTCACTTTCAGAGGAGTGGCAGATTGGCCAGATCCCCCAATAGCCTTATAAGGAAAGTTCTGCCTGAGCTTGCGCACTAATCCTTTGTAAAAGGATTTCACAGAAAATTCACCTGTCTGAGCCCATTTCCAGCGCCTAGAGTCTTGAGTTGAGATTGCAAATTGAGCTGCTGATTCTGGAAAAAAGCTAATAAATCAGTCAGCATTTCCATCTCCCAGTTGTTAAAACTCCTTCTAAATGAAGGAATCCATGTAATTCTGCTTTCTTATAAGGAAAGTTCTGCCTTAGCTTGCGCACTAATCCTTTGTAAAAGGATTTCACAGAAAATTCACCTGTCTGAGCCCATTTCCAGCGCCTAGAGTCTTGAGTTGAGATTGCAAATTGAGCTGCTGATTCTGGAAAAAAGCTAATAAATCAGTCAGCATTTCCATCTCCCAGTTGTTAAAACTCCTTCTAAATGAAGGAATCCATGTAATTCTGCTTTCTTCCAAAATTTACCTTAGCTTTTCAAAAAAAAAAAAAAAAACTGCTTTCTTCTAACACATAAGACTCTGCAACTGAGGCTTGCTTGTTTTCTGCCACGTTATACAAGGCCGGAAACAAATCTTTTAGGGGCCTGTTGCCACACCAGGGATCCAACCAGAATTTAACCCTGTTACCGGTCCCAACTCTTAGACTTATCCCTTTCATGTAATGAGAGAAAATTTTAGAAATGCCTCTCCAAACACCACATCCATAGGGCAAGCGAGGCACCTCTGCGTCCCATCCATTACTTCGAATGCCGTACTTCTCAGCTATAACTTTCCTCCATAAGTCATTAGGTTCTATAGAGAATCTTCAGAACCACCTGCCCAGTAGAGCTGCATTAAAACTCTTCACTTTTCTGATCCCCAAACCTCCTTGAGATGTTGTCCTGCACACCTTGTCCCAGCTCACCAAGTGATATTTCATGGAGTCTTTCCAACCCATCCACAGAAAGTCTCATTTTTCCTTTTAATCTTCTCTGCTACTTTCACAGGGATTGGATACATAGAAATATAATAGGCCAGGAGGCTTGCTAACACAATTTTGATTAGTATCACCTTGCCTCCTTTAGAAAGATACCGAGCTTCCCAAGCTGCCAGCTTAGTGTCCGACTGTCCATCCTCTCCAAAATTGGATCCCAAATGGCTTTCGAGGTACACTTGCTCCTAAAGGCAAGCCCAAATATTTTGAAGGAAGGATTCCAATTTTGCAACCCAAAACTTCAGCTAGCTTCTAAATATTTGTAATCTCTCCAATCGCCATCATTTCATTTTGGCCAAATTGATTTTCAAACCTGAAATAACCTCAAACCAGTAAAGTAAGTACCTGAAGTTGACCACCTGGTCTGAAGTAGCATTTTAAAAGAAAGTGTATTGTCAGCAAACTGTAGGAGTGCAACCTTTGTGTCATTGTTGCTTACTTCAAATCCTTCTGACAGACCCAAATCTGTTGCTCTAACAGTCACTTTGCTGAAACCCTACAGCACAATAAGAAATAATGAAGGTGATAATAGATCACCTTGTCTCAACCCTCTCGAGCTTTTAAAGTTTTTTTTGGCTGGACCATTAATTAGGATCAAGAATCTCAGAGTTGTGACACAAACTTTCATCCAATTTTTCCATTTTAAACCAAAGTTCATCCTTGCCATCATATAATCTAGAAAAGCCCAGTTTACATGATCATGGGCCTTTTCTAGATCAATTTTGCAGTCTAGACCTTTCTTCCCATTTTTCCTTCTTGAATCAATGACTTCATTTGCAATAGGAACTCCATCATGTTTGTTCTTGTTATGGATGAAAGCTCCTTGGTAAATTGAGATGATTGAGGCCATCACAGATCTTAACCTTGAAGCCAAAATTTTTGACAAATCTCTTACACACTTCAATCAAACTAATAGGCTGAAAATCCTTCATTTCTGCAGCACCATCTTCTTTGGAATCAGCGAAATGAAAGTTGCATTTAAGTTTCTTACCAAGGCTGCTGAGTTGTGGAATTCCTTCAGCACATTAAGCAAACCATGCTTAATGATTTTCCAATATTTTTTTATAAAACAAGATGGTGAAACCATGGGGTCCTGTGGCTTTTTATCCTTCCAACTCATTTATTGCCTGCTTCACCTCTTCTTCCGAAAAGGGTTCCTCTAGTGCTGCCACCTGTTGCACAATTAGCCTTTCACTGTAGCCCACCAGATTTGGCCTTATCTTGCATGGCTCACTATATAACTGCTCATAAAATTTCGCGACGACAACCTCTGATTCTTTTTCTTGTTCAACCATATGCCCTTCAATCTCCAGCCTATTAATCGTATTGCTTCTTCTTCTTGCATTGGTCACTTTGTGAATAAAAAAAGCCATGTTATTATCTCCTGCCTTCAGCCAAGTATCCCTGGATCATTGCCTCCACTTTATTTCGTTTTGATAAGAAATAGAGTCAAATTCTTTTTTGGCAGTAGCCCTTTTCCTTCTATGTTCTTCCCATAGTTGTTAAGATGCCTAGGTGATTCTATGCAGCAGTGGGTTGCCTAGTTGCCTAGTTCTATTCTATATACAATTCAGCATGCATATTAATTGGAAAAATAACAATTTTCTCTATTAATAGCATTACATTTCCTCTTAAAACATGGAAAATCAACACATCCAGGACAATATTATTTCAATTATATTAATTTCAATACTTTCAAAAATGATAACAAATATTTAATAAAGCAATTTTGTATCAAATTATCAACTAAAGAAGGTTATAGTTTTATATGATAAAATATTTTAAGATAGGGAGTATGTGTTATGAGAGAGAGAGAAAAGAAAGAGACTTTATATTTCTATTCTTTAATTTTTCCTTTTTTTCTTCTCAAAACCTTTGGATCTTTTAAGTTTCGATGGTAAAACTTTAAAGCAAGGTATAATAAATGAATAAATGATACATATAGAATATAATAGAATGTAGTAACATACATACTAATAAGATGCAAGAATATGAATGGTATTGTAATGAGATGCCTGCCTTGTCATTTTAGTTGCCTAGGCGGGTGCCTTATCGCCTAGGCAGGCGCCTAGTCGCCTAGATGGGCACCTAGCTTCTATAAACAAGGCTTTTAGGCCAGGTGCCTAGTTGCCTAGTTGATGCCTAGGCGCTTGACAACTATGGTTCTTCCCCTAGAGACAACTCTTCTTCTTCTAAGTCAACTTCAGCAATTATTTTCAAACATTCTTTTTTCCCCTTCTCTTCGCTGCTAAATCTCTCACTGCCAGATTTTAATTTTACCCTTCAGCCATTGCAGCTTTTTGCTCATAATATGACTAGCTGTCCCCTCAAAAGAAACTTCATTACACCATTTCTGAATATTTGTATGAAAATCATCCATGCCCAACCAGCAATGTTCCAGCCTAAATGGGTGATGCTTCTTTCTTAAATCACCTGTGTCCAGCAGCAGTGGAGTATGACATCGGCCTTGGTAAAGCTTCCTGAGAAGTGTTAGGAAAAGTTTCTTCCCACTGAGCTGAAATACTAAACCTGTCCAATCTGACTAAATTGTTAATCTGCCTGTTGTGCAGTTAGAGCACTTGGCTTACTAGTGGATGAATGTGGCAGTTTTTGTGGTTAAGTTCACTTATATTACTTAATTACAATCTTCATCACTGTAACCTTGTTTCTATATGGTTGAGACAATGCTTAGATGATAGTGATGATGATAATGATGTATACATTTTTGTTTACTTGGCTGAATATTGTAATGTTTTTGACCTGTAGAGTTTTCCAAACTAAGCCAGTTCTAAAGAGTACTCTTTTTTGTTGTTGTTGTTGATGATGATGATGATAATGACACGATTCTTTGGTGTTCCTACTTGTCTGTCTGAGTTCCCAATTAGGGGTGGCAAATGGGTGGGTTGGGTAAGGGTTGAAGACCAACCCACCCATATTGACCCACCAACTCACCATGACCCATCATCAATCCTTGTTAAAGAAGGGTGATAACCCACCCTGACCCACCCATATTGACCCATTTGACCCATTCATATTGACCTTTAACCACCCTGACCCATACTAACCCACCTATCCTCACTTATAAATACAAAAATGGGTCGGGATGGCCCGTATACCCAAAATAATAAATTTTGAGAGAATAATCTCTCAAGACTGCCACGTGACAAAAATGAGTCAGGTCAACTCGTATACTCGAAAATGCGGAAATTGTAGATAAATGCAAAAAAACCAAAAAATTATAGAAAAATACAAAAATACAAAAAACTCAAAAATTACAGAAAATTCAGAAATTTTGTAGAAAAAATCAGAAAATATGCAAAAATACCAGAAAATTGTAGGAAATGCATTAAAAACACAAAAAAAAGCAAAAATTATGCAGAAAAGCACCAAAAAATTGCAGAAAATGCAAAATAATGCAAACATTTTATAAAAGTGCTTTCATAAAAGTACTTTCGTAAAAGCACTTTTATAAAAGTGCTTTTGTAAAAGTACTTTTATAAAAATGATTTTGTGCTTTCATAAAAGTACTTTCGTGTAAAAGTACTGTTGTAAAAGTGCTTTAATAAAAGTACTTTTATAAAAGTGCTTTCGTAAGTCCTTTTCATAAGATTGCTTTTGTGAAAGTGCTTTTGTATAAAATTGCATGTGAACATGAAAGTTAATAAAATCTATTTTATTTCACTTTTAATCTCAAAATGAAATGTGGCATGGTGGTTTGGAAGTTTAATGAGATGTGGCCATCGTAGGAGGCATGAGTTCGAATCACTACAACTTGTAGTTTTTGAGATTTGGCGAGTATAGTTGATTTTGACCCAACCCATCTTGACCTGCGCTACCCAACCCATCTTGACCCTAATGGGTACCCTCGACCCAACCCACCCTAACCCTTTTTTCCTGACCCTAATGGGTTACTCGACCCATATTGCCCTGCCAATTGATTGGGTGGGTGGGTCAAATGGGTTAGGGTCAAGATTGCCAGCCCTATTCCTAGTTAACTAAACACATTTTTGGTTGTATCACTATTTGCCTATTTCTAACCTTAAATAACCTAAAAAGTATTGGCAACCACCAATATCCCAGTCTGATCAGTATTTTTCACTAGCTTCTACTTTCTGCCAATTATAGTTCATTAGATGACTATCTTGTCAATGCTGGTTGTACTCCCTCTTTCTTATCATCCATTTGTGTTTGAAATAATTCCTTTTCTTTTTCGTTTATTTTCCCACTGGTATTATTTATAAGCTTGTTTTCTTGGGTTCTTTATAAACTTAAGTAGTTTGAAGGTTCCATGAGGTATGTATTAGTTTCCTTCGCAATTAGATCAAATGACTAGGATATGCATCTTCTTTTATCTCTTCACTGCTATGTCTTAATTTAAGTTTTTTCTTTTAATTTCAAGTGTATCCTTAATACTTTTCTTTTATTCTGTTTCATATTTTTGTGAATGACAATACAGATATGCAAGTACCCTTGGAAACAAGCAGAGGGTGGATCTTTTTGATGGGCCTGCTGGTGGAGAGGGGTTTGGCCAAGAGAATGCCTTGTTGGCATCTTGTAAGCTTATGCTTTCTGTTATATGATTGTCTCCTTCATTGATTACTTGCTACTATTACATGGGAAAGCATTAGTAGCATTTTGAGTAGAGTTTATGCTATCCCTCTCATGATGCAATGTGACAAAGCCATGGTTGGACATTTTACAAATGGTGTAAAGGAAGATGAGAATAAGTAACACTTGTCAAAAAACAAAAAAAAGATAAGAATAAGTAACTGCAATGTTAAGGCAGGAAAAATCTAACTACATGCTCCTAAGCTACCCACCCCATCTTTTTGTTCCAATTAACTCAATAGGCAAATATTTATGGCTTTGATCAAGGCACAGAGAATTCTTCTTATGATCCATAGGGGTAGGAAAATTTTTGTAATTACATACAGCTGACTAATAGCCTCCTTGGTTCTAACGATTTCTGAAAGTTGACATAAATTTCTATGGGGATTACCGGTAATCTTTCTTTATATTTTTTTTCTTTAGAAAAATTTCTTTTGACAACTGGTGAGTTTCATTGCAACATGGACACGGGTTATGTGAGAAGCTAAAGAAAAATCAGAATTCCACTGTAGAAAGAATTTTACAATTTAGGCAATCTTCAAATCCCAACCCTCTATTGTATGCAACCTCCAAATCCCAAGGGGGTAAGTTATGGATTGTGGATTATCAAAAAGTACACTGGAGGGAACTCAGTAGTTTGTGGTATTCTACATAATTTATTTATTTTTTTGATAAATCCATATTTGTAATATTATTTTCAGGTGCACCTTGGTCATTGTAAATTATAATATGATAAAACGGTTGTACTTTTGGAGTCTTTACATGAAAATTTTGAAAATCTGGATTTGAATTGATAGTGTTGCACTAGTGATATCACTTCCATATAGTGGAATAAGTAAACTTATCATCTTAATACCCACACAAAATCCAGTACTGACTGATTGATAAAAAATTGAAGACTACCTTGATAGCTATGTTGGCAAGGTTCTCATTTAGTTAATTTAAAATCAGAACCCATCCATTTTGCAGCTATGACCAACCAACAGCTAATAGATACTGGTAACCAGATGATGGACGAAACTGATCGGGCCATTGAGCGCTCAAAACAGGTTAGTTTATCTCCCAAGGAACACCTCTGATGCTACAGCCATGCTAATCTCACCTCTGATGCTACAGAAGATGACATTATTTGATGCTTAAACTTAATTATATTTTGATCATTCAAAATTCAGTAGTACAGGGAAGGCTATTGAGTGGTCAAAAAAGGTTGCTGGTTACTTTAAATTATCCAAAGATTATTGTTAAGTTTCTGGTTTTCTGTTCATGATTTTGAATGTCACTCATACAGTTCTATGTTCTTAAAAACATGACTAGTTGAGCATCTTTGGCCCTTTTTTATTTGAAGACAACAAATTAGTAGTGCCATTTATATTCTGTCCATTCAACACTGTGTGCAGTCCATTGTTGTATCAGGAAGTGCTTGTTCTTTACTTAATTAAAAAGAGATCTGAATCTGATTATGCTTACAATTGTCTTTTTTCTTCTCAAAAATAAATGTTTATATAAGAAATTAGTTGATTTCATAAAGAAGCAATGACTTCATGGATAGATACTGCTGTGGTTCATTTTCCCTGAAACATAAACAAGGGACTGCTGCACAGGTCAAATGCCTTGGGTTCTTTCCCTTGCATTACTCCTGTAAATCTTACACATTTTTTTTTCCCAAAGAAGAAAAATTATGTGTAATTAGCAAATAGCAAATGTAAGAAAGGCAAACGGAGTTCTTTCTCCCTTAAATCGCATATAATTAGCAAATGATAAAGAAAGGCAAGATGCTATAAATTATTAACATAAAACTCAATAAACTTTGTCATATAAATAAAGAACAATTCATTGGAAGGAAAACTATTTGATAGAAGCAAGGATTGTATAGAACTGGATATTGTGTTATATTTTTAATCACTTTAATTAAGTAAGAAGATCAAAACAATACTTGTGTATGTTGATTTTCTTTAAAAGGCAACACTATACTAACCCATCCTCAAATTTAAATGAGCATTGAATGCTTAAGGAAAAATGTTCTTTTAAGTGATCAAATCAAAATTATTAAGTGTTTTTTTGCATATTCGGTATTTTCTGGCTCTGGCCAAGTATATTTGGTGGTTTTTCTTCTGCATCTACAGGGTGGATTGGTTGCTTCCAAATATGCTACAGAAGGTACATAAATGGAATGATCTTTTTTTTTTTTTTATAGGAAATGGTAACTTTCATTAGCTAAAAAACAGAAATACAACTGTCACCTACTAGAGTGAAAGGTGACACCTGAACAAAAAACAACTTACAACACTGCCCAAAACAAAACCTCCCGATTCACCCCTTACTTTGCTAGGTTCTTAGCTAAAGCACATAAACAGAATGATCTTTCATTTCTTTTTTAAGCTTGAGGGTGAATACCAGTGTTTTAAAAACCAACCCAGAGGCCGAACCGTTTTTGGCTCCGGGTCGCGGTTTACCGATTCGACTGTCTAGGTCGATCAGGTCAGACTTTTCCACGTCAGCCATATGGAAATTCATATATATATATATATATATACATACATGTATAAATGTGTATAGGTATGTATAAACATGTATTTTATCAATAAATAATGTATAATTATGTTTTACATGCAATATATATATTTTATATTTAATTTATGTTTATTAATTCAGTTTTAAATTTTTTGTTTGTAAATTTGAGGCAAATAAAGGGTTTTTTTGGCAAAAACAACGGGGCAAGGCGCCTATGGTCCCTTGGGATGCATAGATCTTGAAAAGTTGCCCAAAATCCAAAAAAGAAAAAATCACCTCAGTTGGACATTAGAGTGCAAAGTTATAGCCTCCCGAAGTTTGCATACATAGGTAGTATGCAACCTGCAACCCGGTCACCGGGTCAATGGTCCAACCATTTGGGTCGGACGTTTTTTGACCAAGTCAACGGTTTTGACCAAGTCAACGGTTTTGACCAAGTCAACGGTTTTGACCTTTCTCTATGTTTACTCAAACCGGCCCCAGAATCTTGACTGGGTGACAGTTCGAGCAGTTTAACTTGCTGGGTCAATGACGGGTTGAAAATACTGGTGAATATGTGGAGCTATTCCATTCATGTTCTTTTAGAATATTTGAATAGACAGGAATTGAAGAATCTCTAAACTCTGGAGGCATCTAGAGATTGGCTCTGCAGATGTGCAAAGCCATCTGTTATATTATCATGGAGTAGGCTTTGTTGTTGAAAGAATTTAAAGACAAGACCGGGAAAGATTGTCAATCATTAGTATACAGTATGTACATTTTATCACTTTTGTATGTTGAAGATACACCTCTTTATACTTGTGCATCTTACTTTTATATCAATTGGTGAATAATAATTTATAAGTGTATTACCACTTATATGCCTATCTTTTGCTTTGTTCCCTTATTTGCATATATATATATATATATATATATATATATATGTGTGTGTGTGTGTGTTTTATTTGTTTTGTTCTTCCAAGTTACTAGAAATTTCTTTTTCTTTTATCTAGTTTTTAGTAAAATTGGGGAATTAGTTAGAAATTGAGGTTGATTAACTAACCTCCATTAAACTCTGTGTCTCTATTTCTCCTGTTTACTTTTATTTTTTTTCTTTCAACTTTCAAGTAGTTTAACTGCATTTTTTTCCCTATTTATTGTTTTCTTTTTGTGTGTGTAGTTAATGCATTTTATATAGGAGTGTTTCCAGACAACCTTATAAATATAGAATCTCTAAATTTCCCACTTTCCTTGATTACTTTGATTTACCTTTTATTTTTTTTCAAGTTATTGAATAATTTTTTATCACCTGGGCAACCATACAAGTGCTTATTCACAAGCTGCTGTAAGCCTAATTTTAGAAAAATAGCAAATTTATAGATTTGGTGTCTATAAATTATCACTCCCTTATTTCCCTGATTTGTTTTATGGTTACCTATCAAAGAGGCAGTCACCTACTAAACTGTCCCAATTGATTATGTGATGAACATAGTCAAATGCTTTGGAGTTTTCTTTAATAATCAATGAGTTTGTCTGTTTGTTTGTGTGTGGATGCATGAGTTTCCATGCCTGTGTATGTGTCTGAACGCATGAGTTGTATGTGTATGGGTAGGTCGGTACTTGGTAGGTTACGTGTGATTTTTATTCAAAACTTGAACAATCCATGCTAATGATGTGCTGAACAATAGATAATTTCTAATTGTAGGTATTTCTCTTTTTACTTCTGTTGAAAATCTATGGTATAACTTCTCTTCAGTATTTTGTGTTGCTTTGTACTTTATCCAGAAATGGTTAGAAACAGGATCTACATATTCTCAATTTAGAACCTAAATTTATCCACTGAAAACTAAAAGATAAAGAGTTGTTTATTTAATGTTAAAAATTGGGGCATTGTTATTTATCAAAAAAAAAAAAATAGGACATTGTTATTCACAATATCCATTTCTTATGCTATTTTGGGTTATAGGTTGTTGAACAAACTATTGGCGTTGGAGCAGAGACGGCAGCTGCTCTCAAAGCTCAGGTATATTTCTCTGAAAAGATTAATTATGACTTGCTATGATATTAATTTTTTTCTATCTATTTAGTTTATTTTTGGTTGTTAAGGTATAAAGCTAAATGTTTTCATTTATTTGTTCATTCAGACAGAACAAATGAGTAGAATTGTAAATGAGCTTGATTCTATCCATTTTTCAATCAAGAAGGCTTCTAAACTGGTTAAAGAAATCGGTAGGCAGGTCAATCTCTGAAATATAATACATCTCCCTCTTTTTAATATATCCAATTGTATTACTCACTTCTTAGCCAAAAGGAAAAAAGGAACAATATTGGTCCCTTTGTGGTACTTAATGAAATTATTTTTATAGGTTGCAACTGACCGGTGTATTATGGCATTTCTCTTCCTAATTGTCCTTGGAGTCATAGCTATCATCATTGTGAAGGTTATGTTTCTTTCCATTTCCCATTTCCTTTAATTACTTATACCTTTTGCATTATGTTTTTGTGAAAAGGGTTACATATGCTTTTCCTAAAATTTACAGTTTCTTAATGGCAGGTAGTTTCTTTATTTCTTAAAGATTGTGCATGCACATCTAACACATGCCATTCATTCATTCTTAAAATCAATACTGGGCTGACTTCTCCCTTTATCCAATTCCAAGTTTCCAACTTGTTGAAATTACAGATTGTCTATCTCCTGTACAACTCTGGGAGTTCTTTAAGGGAGTTGTGCATGAAGCTATTGGACCTCAACCTTATTTAGCATCGCCAACTACTTGTAAAAAAATGCTTGTTCCTATTCTTCATTCCGTTAAGTAAGTTGTGTGGGACTTTGATCATGGAATTACTGATACCCAATTTTGTCACTACCAAAAACCTGGCCATGCTACTGGTGCTGTTGTTTACTAAACCAAAGAATAGGTGGTAGACCAAAAACTTGGTCATGATGTTGCTGGTGCAAATAGAAAATCCTTGATAGGTTTTTTTATATTGTTGGCTGTGGTCCATCAGTAGGAGGTTGAAGCTGACTGACTGGACTGATATGTTATGTGAGCACTGTGCAGTATGAAATGAACCTTAGATCTCCGATATGTCTACACTGAGTAGTAGAATTCCTAGCTTTATATATTTCAATTCTGGTACACTTGTTCAGTTATGTTTGGCTTTTGAATTTCCAGATCGTGGACCCAAAGAACAAAGACATTCGGGATATTCCTGGGCTGGCTCCACCAGCTCTTTCAAGGAAACTTCTTTGGAACACCAATTAGAGTACAATGACTAAATAATCGTGGGATTTCATTGAAAAGCCACTTCGTACTGATAAGGCATTAGGTCTGGGAAATTATGTTCGCTCATTGTTTCTGATGCATCCACTCCGGAAGGAAAAGAACAAGAACAAAAGAAAGTGATAACCAAGTCCCACTCACTGAAGCTCTCTGCGTATTTCTCACAAAGCATCTTTTATTGGAGAAGGTCCGTATGCTTTGAGTTACCCCGTGAAGATTTTCTTTTAGGATAATAATATTGTCACCTGGGCTATGGGACCTAATATGTGATTATCTTGAACTTGAATTTTGGTCCACAGTGACCACCTAAAATACCAAGTCGAACATGTGTATTTATTTGTTTTAGTTTGGTTGTATTTTCTCTTCCGTTCCTGACAGTCTAATGGTTATATGAAGAGTTGGCAGTTGCTCAATTTATGGATTCAAGAGATGGGCTTTTCAAGTATTAGAGAACCCCAAAACCCATTGTAATTCACACTTCCCCAATGAACCATATCGCTTGGATTTAATTGAGTGTTCCCTTTTCTACATAAACAAGGGGCCTTGTTTCCCGAATAACAGAGGAAAGGATTTATTGTCTTACTGAGCTAAAAACTTGCCATGTGAATTGATTAAGGGGGGTGTTCTCGCCTCGAACGGAAAAATAAAAAGCCCAAACTTTTGTGTCTAAGTCCAGTCCGAGGACTGAAAATCCAAGCCCGGATATATCTGGGCTCGAGTTGGGCCCACCCAAGTTGCACCCTCTATCTGACCTGCCACATCTACGGTTTAGGATTGACGCCTAATATGGTTTGACCGGACCGGATTCCTTTCCAGTTTGATAATGAACAATAAGTTTTTAACAGCAAAAAAGAGAGAAGTTCTTAAAATAAGGAATGCCAAATGCAGTCTTAGTATGTCTAGTTTTATTCAAAACATGAGTAAAAAGATAACCCTCGTTATTGGAGCTGCTTGTATAATTTGCTACAAAATATCTCCAACAGCGATCTCTCTCTCTCATCAAGTCCCAGCTCCTTTAGAAGAGGCTTAATGATGAAGTCACACGCTTCTACAATGGATGGAACTCTGAAAAATTTGACATTAATTTCCCTTGGAGTCTTGGACTTGTTTTCTTTTTACTACTTGATCAACTATTGTGGGCCTCTTTTGCTCTTTTGAATTCTTCACGTACATGGATTTTGTACGGAAGTCTTTCTCTTGGAGTTTTCCTGATTACTTGCAAGTTGCAACTAGCCCATTTAAACAATTGACAATTGATTCTTTTAAGCATTTTCAAAAGTGGCTAAGTATTTTATTAAAACAAACTTAGCTAGTTACAAGCTAACTAATTACGTGTTCACTGATCCCCACACTTCATCCTGTTCGCTTGTGCATCAAGCTCTGTCGATCAAACGTCAAAACAATGTAATCTGATTTTTGGTCTCTCAATTATTTATATAAATGCATAAATTATTTACAAAAGTGATTTAAGCACATTTCTTTTTGAAGAAACACATCTTGTTTTTTGATAAAAGCCTAAAAGGGCACATCTCTCTGATGATTATGACGTGGGGGTACTTGTTTTACAATATTAGAAGACAAAAACATCCATTACCAACAATCGTTGGTTTATCTTTTCACCAGCAATGTACCATTCTACCTTTACAAAAAGTGGAGTGTCCCCAGATCAGTTATCATATCATTTTTAATTTTTTTTTTTTCTATCAAAAATGAAAAACAGAGCATGATATAAACCTAGTTGTGATTCATAGACATCATTGAAACAACCTTTGAATTTGCATGATCGAGTAGTCAACTTTGATAAGAAAAGTAGGGACCCCCTTTTGATTTATATTCAACAAATCAAAAAGAAAAATAAAAAACCCTAAATCTATTTTAAAGGTTTTTGCCGTTTTGCAGACTGTCAAAGTTTATTATAGTGGCTGGGTAGGGGCCGGTGGATTTGGAAAGTTTTCTGATATTTATATGTGAACTGTGGTGGTCAAGCCAACCGGACGGAAACTGATGCGCACCGGTTTTGTTCATTACACCCAAGGACAAAGGTACATATTAAAGGCTACGACTTGGCCAAATTCCTATCCTCTAGAGTCTAGACTACAAATGCCTAGGTTACACATGGGTTCCACACAGTATTTCTTTTGTATGGTGATGATGGCATTTGTAATATTTACGAGTTTGAACTTGCCCGTGGAGCTAGAAATTCCCTTTCAAGGAGTCATGGTTTTAACTGTAGACATAAGAATCATGCTTTAAAGAGACCGGATTTGCTCCTCACACATAAGAGTCATCGTTCACGCCTCACACGCACATCGTGCCATGCATTGGGAACATCTACCATACTTATAGGTTATTATTCATGGGAGATGTTCCCAATGCACGGTGGATGTGCATGTGAGGCGCTCCTGTGTGAGGAGTAGATCCCTGTTCTGGTTTAAAGTATCAATCCAGACAATACTCCCGAATCCTGATATGCACCAGTGGTAACGGGATCTGCTCCTCACAAATGGGTGCTCACAGGCACATTCACCGTGCATTGGAAACATCTCCCATGAATAATAATAAGCACGGGAGATGTTCCCAATGCATGATAGGATGTGCGTGTGAGGTGCCGCCAGGTGTGAGAAGCAGATCCTGTCTTGCACCAGAGGTATTTTACCACTTATATAATTTTGTTATTTTAAGTTTTTTTTTTTTTTTTTCTCAAAATCGCAGCAGGTTGGTTTTAAGCATGCCTACCCCATGAAAATAGTTAAAGTCCAGAGCACTTCTTATTTGCGATTTTGGACAGCCCACGATACAATATTATATGTTTGATGCAGTGCCATGGTTTTGTATGAGTGCAAATTTATTTGCATTGTAACTAAATAAAATGTTAATAAATTATTTAGGGACCGTTTGGCAAGATTTTTTTGAAATGATCTTCTAGTAGTTTTGACAGTCAAAAAACACATTAAGCTTTTATACAAAGATGTGAGCTGTTCGAATTAATTTGACTACTGTGCATCTTTACAGCATAAAATGGATTTCTGGCATCTTTTCAACACACCAACTTTTAAAGGTTAAATCTATTATAAACCAAACAAAGAAAAAAACGATAGTACGATCTCTCTAATTTATCTAACTTATAAACAGCCAAAAAAACCACGGAAAAAGACGCGTCAAATGGGCCTTAGTTATTTGTTATCAGAAATCGGTATGAATGTACAAGAATCTAAGGTTTAAATGGATATGTAAGAAGCTTCCATGTTCCATCTAAATAAAAAAAAAAAAAAAAAATAATAGAAACTAGTATGGCCAAGGTTGGAAACGGATGATGTTATGATGCTGATTTTCAACGCGGTGATGTTTAAAGTGGGACCATTTGATTCAACTTATGACTCTGAATCTCACACCTACAACGTCATTGTTGAGTAAACTTTACATCATTACGGTATGATTTATTATAATTATGATTTCATACATATATTTAATACATATATATATATATATATATATATATATATATATATATATATATATATATATATATATACTTTCATCCATTCCATGATGGGTCTAGGTGGCAACTTGGGCCTCACAAGCGTTAATTGGTTGCAAATTCTAGCATTCTGCATTCATTATAGGGCTAGTATTGTTTGACACTTATTTCTTATGTTGTAAATTTGGATTTTTATTTGAAAATTTTTAATTAAATTAAATTTTATATATAAAATAATAACCCATTTTATGAATCTTATAATCACCACTAAATATTGTTTGAAGTTATTACTTTTATTTTTTGAGTTGCTAGGCATATGTCCGAGAAAAAAAAGTTTTTATTTGAAAGCGAGAATAATTACTTTAGAGATACTCTTTCTTACAAAAAAAATATACTACTTGTTAAATGGAGAAGTTTTCTATGTGCGAGCACTTTGGGCCATATACCATATGTTGTTTCAAATTAAACCTTACGTACGTCAACAAACAATACATAGGAGCAGAATGTGCAATTTGAATGAGCATTAGAGTTTCTCTTCATTCCATTTGTGGGGTATCTTGCTAAATAGGAGTGCAAGTTGGGTCAAGTTTAGGTCAACACTAGTCCAACTAGAGTTGTTGAACCCTTAATCCTAATCCTAACCCAACCCAAATAGCTTGGGTTTAGATTGGTCCAATCTTTTGTCAAATGTACTTATTTCTTACTCTAAAAGTTTATGTTAATTCAAGATTAGCATTATTATGCGTAAAAGAACATAGTTATCATGTTTTAAAAAAGATAAAATTCCCGAATATTTTGGGCCTAGTGCTATTTTGATCCCTGAACTTTGAAACACGACAATCCAGTACTTGCTGTTAACTAGTCTATTAACTAATCGTTAAGTGGCATTTGAAAAGACACAAATTCCCTTCAAGTGTCATCTAATTCTCTTTATCAACGTTGATAAAAAGTGAACAGTCCCAAATCCTTGCCTTTTCTATTCAAGAAAGTTGGGGTTACCAAATTGCCCATTGAGACATGACCCAACTTTCTTGAATAGATGTAACGAGGATTTGGGACTGTTCACTTTTGATATGCTTGACCTAAGTTAATTCATATGCCGATCCCAAGTCTCCGCTACAACCAACATGCCCACCATGCTGTTTTTTGATATTATGACTCATTTTGGTGGAAGCATAAATACAAATACATACAAAATAATACAAAATAAAAGATTTTACACTCTACATATTTGTATTTTTACTCCTTCCAAATGGAGACTAAGGTTCCGAGACAAAATAAGAGCTATCATTCTGCGGGCTTAATCTCATACATCCTATTTTGGAGTGATGCCGACAGACCAACCTGAACTTGACATACATACCTGTCTATACATGAAACTCACATGCTTATTCATATTTGCATATACAAACAAGGTTGACTATGATTCTCGAAAGGTATAATACCAAAAAAACTTATCACCAATCAACCATATCATAAAAGTGGTAATCTATCATCTGAGTTTTAATCAAAATTCACAAGATTTTTGATAGATTAAATTCTTTCTATTATCATAAATTTTCTCATACAAATAATATGTATTTATGTATGTATGGATGTATTCATGCCTTTTTTTTTCATAATTGATTAATTATAAGTTTAGAAATGAGTTTTTTTTTTCTAAAAACAAAAATGAAAAAAATTGGATGAACCTGGACCCATCTTGAACCCAATCACCCAATGTCATTAGGTTGAATTAGACCAAGGATCAGACTTACCTTTAGCCAAAATTTAAATGGGCCTAGCCCAAAACTCAAGCCTGAAGCAGTGTATAATGTTTATGGGCCAAACCTGCAGCCCGGCCATGAAGACAGAAGAGGTATAATTGGGAGTACTAGAATACAATAACTCGGATTAGGTTAGGGTTGGTTTCAACGGTTCAACTGACCCAACCCGGCCCAACTTACCA